GGAGCAGTTTAGCAGTTTAACTCTGGCTCCCTGTTGACACTATTGAAACATATGTGCTTATTTCAGTATAGATAAGCGTATATATGGGCTTCACAGGTAGCTCCGTGGGTAAAGAATCCACCTGCAAGGCAGGAGATGCAGGTTCAGTCCCTGGGTTGGAAAAATTTCCCGGAGGAGGGCATGGCAACCCACTCCAGTGTTCTTGCCTGGAGAATCCCATGGACAGAGGAGCCAGGCGGGCTACAGTCCATGGGGTCACAAAGAACTGGACATGACTTAGCACAACTTAGCACAACTTAGCACAGCACACAAGCGTATATACATATACATATATAATCAAATTTATACTGAAAGAAAAAGATATGATAGAAATTATTTCTCCCATCAAGAAATCAGGGATTTCTTCTGCTTTCTATAAATATAGATATTATATATGTGTGTGTATATATATATATGATAATAATGTATTTTAACAATATACATAATATATTGTTTTTCAATGATTCACAGTTCTACAGCATGCACAGCCATGAATATTCAACAGCAGCAACCCCTGGTCATTTAACTTTGGTTTTGCCATTTGGGGAAATGAGTGATTAAGTAGTAGGTTAAGCTATGAGACAGGACGTCTGACTGTTTTATGAACCATGAATGGACCAAGTGCAGAAGTTCAAGGTTAGAAGTGTTATATTATGGAAAGAACACTATTTTACACTCAAGGAGTCTTTCAAAATGTTGATTTACAAGGTAAGCTCTTACTGTGAAGTCTCTCCTTCTGCAGGGGTCAGAATCAACCAAGTGAAGAATAGGCATGTGCCTTTAGAGTTGTCTTGATTGACCTCTTCCAGGGAGCCCAGATATGTGTCTGCACAAACCTGAACATTCCTTTGGAATTTATTGGGTTCATTAAAAAAAACCCGCCTCACTTAGCACCACCTGGTCAGTCTCTCTGCTAGGCTCTTTACCTACATTTTCTCTAATATGATGCTTCAGCTGACAGCCAGTGGTTTAGAATTCCTATTTGTCTGTGTAAATTATTAAAACAAATATTTCCAAATTGGCATTTTAATTACGTTTTCAAAAATGCTAATTTTGAAGTGTATAATGTCTTATTTTCTCAGATAATCTCTATTAACCAATATTCTATAAAGAAACAGGTTATTCCAGTATTTTTTTAAATTCACAGATTTGCACTTTTGTGAATACAGAGGTAGCTGTCTTGTGAATAGACCAGAGTATGCTCTGTAGTATACCTTTGCTCTATAATTCAATTCTGAATTCTAAATATGAATATAGGCTAGCAGAACCAAACCTCAAGAAGGGACAGAGAGGAGTTTTATGAGCTTAGATCACTTGCTTCATCATATTTGCCTTATTTACCTTCATTATTCAATACCTTACTGAGTATAGGTCTAATAACTGATCTCTACTTAATGAATGGTTTTTAGTTTATTGAATATAATGAAATGTAAAGAAATTTGGAATAGAGAGATATTAACTGTTCTAAAATCTGAATATTCTGTTAAGGCTTAATTTTTAAAAGCTATGTAAGTTAAAATTGCATAGTGTATGAAATACGTGGTACTAGAAGTAGCATCATAGAGTTTTCCATACAAAGGGTGTGCATTTGTATTTTTTCTGTTCCCAACCCATGGAGGCTTCAGATGTTTTTCTCAAAGTAAGAGCATCAGCATTTCCAGAAGTTAAATTCTGATGAAAGAAGCAACACTGGGGTAAATGGTAACGACACAATAACTTTTTGTTACCTACAGTCCTGTCTACCCATTCAATATATATCTTGATGTTTATTATCATCAAGATAATTTTAAAGTAAAGAAAATAATAGTAAACATACATTCATGCCCTAAATGTAATAAATTCTTTTTAAAAAAATGAAAGAGTGAAAAAGCTGTTTTCTCAAGGAGTACATTTTAGTCTGCTTTACAGGAAACATGTTAAGTTTGCTAGTTTTAACTTCATACTATTTTCCAATAGTATTCTTACTGCTGAGCATATACAGATGGGAACAAGCAAAATATTGTCAGAGTGTATCCTAATTTTAAAAGCAGAAATGTTCAGTTCAGTTCAGTTCAGTTGCTCAGTCATGTCCGACTCTTTGCGACCCCATGGACTGCAGCACACCAGGCCTCCCTGTCCATCACCAACTCCTGGAGTTTACTCAAACTCATGCCCACTGAGTCGGTGATGCCATCCAGCCATCTTATTTTCTGTCGTCCCTTTCTCCTCCTGCTCCCAATCCGTCCCAGCATCAGGGTCTTTTCTAATGAGTCAACTCGAAGAAATGTTAGTCATAGATAATTTTTAACAGACAGTCCTAATCTGGGGCCTCAGTATTAATACTATAGTCAGTTCAGTCAGTCAGTTCAGTTGCTCAGTCATTTCCGACTCTTTGCAACCCCATGAACCGCAGCACGCCAGGCCTCCCTGTCCATCACCAACTCCCGGAGTCCACCCAAACCTATGTCCATTGAGTTGGTGATGCCATCCAGCCATCTCATCCTCTGTTGTCCACCCCACCTGGGTTTTCATGGCAAGTGGCCAAAGAATGTATGGTCACACCATGTTCTCTGGTTTCCAATGATCTCTCACTTTTCTCTCTTCAACTAGGTAGAAAGGGCTGAACTCACATAGCATCTACAGCTCCCCTCAGTGCCATGTCTCTTCCTTGATGTCTTCTTATCCCCTATGTAGGAAGCCCCCGTTGCAACCTTAGAGAGGGCCTTGAACTGTATGTATAATAAAATTCAGATGAAACCCATATCTCAGAGGAATAGAGGTAAATGTCTAGAAGGGTTAACTTACCCTGGCAGTAGAATCAGTGTACATTTATTCTTTGTTCCTCTCAGCATGGCGGATAAAAAAAGAAGCCTGAGTTTTCCCAGAATTTCTTTGGCTCTCCTGAACCAAAGGGGAACTTGTAAATGAAACAATTCCAGAATATGTTCCTGCTAAATTGCATTCTTATAATTAGAAGAATGAAATGTTTCTGTGGAAGCAGCATAAACAGCTAAAGAGCTGATCAACTTATTCTTTCTCTCCATGATATTATGCTCTCCGTTACCTGATATCTGAGATTTTAGGGTCAAACAAGGTAATGGGTGTACATGAATGAATACCTTTTGCAAAGCATGACTCTGACACAGATAATAGTAATTTAAAATGATATGTTTAAAGCTCACTATTATTTGCGGACATGTTAAACTGCACTCAGATTTCAACCCAAACTTATTTTACTTCTGAGTTGTCTAAAGAGGCACCAACCAAAATTTTATTTTGTTTCTTTAACTTTTCATCAAAAGAGAAATTGGTAGCAATACTAAACTCATGACAGGCCTATCACCAGAGTTTTACGAATGTCCTTTCTATACCACCAGGCAGATAATAAAGTAAGTTTATAGTATGCTCTGGTGAGTGTAACTTGTTTTATTTTGCTTTTATCTCCGTCTGTTTTAACATCAGCCCTCTATTTCCTGACTCCTTACTATTTTTCACTTTAATTGGTTTGTTTTTTCAAACTGGATGTTGTTGGCCTTGTTGTTGAAGAACGTTTCAAGAGGGAAGTAAGAAAGAGTGGGACGAATACTGGCTTTGTTGATTTGGCTCCGGCTGATTTTACACCTGTAGCCAGGAGCGCTAATGGTTTTTTTTGTATGGTTAATTAAATCCTGCACTGATGGCTTCTGCTGTGGATGTTAAGTCACCCACCTTGTTGGGAGATCCTCTGGTCCAATAGGGTTGATCTGGCATGGGGGAATCATTTTTTAAATGTTCACCTTTGTTTAGGTAGCTGACGGGGGGCAAGAGGCTGGTCTGTGTGCAGCTTACCTGTTAAGATCTGTAAATATAATTTGGATGGGATCTCATTCTAGGTTGTTTTAAAAGCAAGATGGCAGGTAAGGAAGTGGCACAAACAGGAGCCTTTCTTCTCTTTTCTGTCTGCTAGAATTCTTTTCCATGAGAAAAAGGAAAAATCCCAGCGCGTTTTGTTTTCCTAATGCTTCTTTGGATTCTCACCAGTAGGTTTTTACAGTCTGTTGCTTGCCTCTCAGATTAGAAGAATGCTGGCATATTTTAACAGTTTCCTAGGATTCAAACAGCCTTTAATTAATGACAAATTGATGTTTTGGAACCTTACCAGAGTATGAGAGACAGAACAGGGAGGTGGGCTCCTTTCAGCTTCCAAATGCAGTGAAATCCTAGAACAGGGGGCAAAGGTGTGTGTCTCCTGAGAACAGCCTTGGCCCACTGGTGTGCGAAGGAGGTGTCTGTGTTGCCATAACATTCCATTGCCTTCTCATTGATGACCTTCTATATTCCACCTACTGGTGACTGGGAAGGAAGGGGGCAGGTAGTCTTGAATCTTTAAAGCAGCGGGGGTGCTGAGTAGCTCAGGGATCCGGTGATTTGTAGCTGGATTTGCTGGTTTTAAGCCTCCAGTCGCCAGGCCTGTCAGGTACGGCTGCCCGTGTTTGTGGTTAAGCTTCTTTCCCGTGCCAGCTTCATGTCATCTTGCTGCCAGAGTCTGGGACGTGGTGGAAAAGAGCAGTTCTGTAAAAGAATCACTCAGACTGGATGCATATTTTGAGCCAAAGTTCGTTTTCAAAGAGGATCGGGAGAGCATCGGAAGGGTTTTCCCTTTGAATCAAGGGATCTTAGTTACAGGTTTGCTGGTTACTCAGTCCAGAGCTCAAGGCAGAAAAAAAAGAATGGACTGTGGGCTACGAAACGTTTGAAATGTTAACAGTTACTTACGTAGGCAGGTAGTCCTGACCCCAGAGGGACAGGAGCAGTGATGGTGCTCCCTCTGCTCACGGCGCATCTGCTGGGTGGCCGGCTTCGGGGTTGGTTCGCTCCCTGTCTTGCTTTCTCCGGTGACCAGGAAAGCTGGCATTTTGGTCTCAGAGAGGCCTGGGTGACTGTGTGCTGTGAGCTCCTGCGCTTTAGGTCCCTGACCATGCCCTCTGTTCTCCTCTGTGCAGGTGGCACATGCCAGAGCCCCGCTCTCCCAGCCCTGGTCCGGCCGCCAGCCCCACCTTTGCAACCGTCGCTGGACATTAAACCGTTTCTTCCATTTCCTCTTGACACAGCGGCCGCAGTCAACCTCTTCCCCAATTTTAATGCGGTAAGTCCTGCGCCGTTTGCCTGGGCCAGGGTGGTGGGCAAGCATGGAAGGCGTTCAGGGCCAGGGGTGAGCCGGCCACGGCCTCCCTTCTACTCTGCGCTTTACTCCGTATCTTGGCCGAAAGGATGACAAGGTTAGTTGTCTGCCTGGTTGTGTGAGGTTCCCAGAGCCAGCCTCCTTCGGGAAAGAGGAACAGAGATTGCATCTGATGGGGTTGGTCATGAATCTGTGCCCCCCTTTTAGTGTCTTTCTGGGCAACACTAGCCATTTTATTAGTTTCTTTTCTATGCCAAGTTCAGTTTAACTGAAAGGTAATGAATGTGTTAGAGAGCATTCGGATTCATGTCAATGTCTAAAACCTTAAATGTATGTTTCTTCTCTCTGGGCCTTCTACTTTAATTTTCAAATCTGTTACTTCTTTTCTAATTTAAGAAAGAGGACCCTGATCATCACACCAGAGATATATTCTATGCAAAAAACACATTCTCCCTCTAAATTTAAAAGCAATTAGGGTTCTTATGGTAGAAATAATTTTTTTTTTCTTTCTTCCCAGACACAGTTCCTCAACTTAAGTCTTTCTTAAATGACCATGTTTTGGGAGCTTTGTCAACAGCTTTCTCCACACCAGCACAGTACTTATTTGCCTCTGTTTTCACTCTTGTTCTTGTCTTTAAAACTTGACAGATTCCTCATATGCATCATCATCCTTTTTTTTTTTTTTTTTTTTTTGTACAAGCACTGAGAATATTCTTTGGATAAAAATAGAAATAAGGGTTGAAAAGGTTAGAAGCCAGTAAGTGACATTGTTTTCTAATATCTGATTCATCTTTCAACAATTGTTATAATGCAGGTCTGAGTTTATCAATGACAGAACTTGTCAACACAACCAAGGCCAAGGGGATTAAGATGTAAGGTCTCTGAAGGCCCAGTGAGCTAAATAATACAGGCTTCTTGTTGCAACATCTGACCTCCATGATGGATTAAAAAGAAAAAAGCAGTCTGTCCACAATTAGGTCATTCTCCTCGAGGAGACAGAAGTGGGTCTTTTTTGCTTTAATTATGCTTCATCACAGGATTTTGGACCTGCCAAGGAGAGGGTGTGGTTCTGTGCTCGCCTTTACTGAAGGACATTGGAGAATCACAGTGGTTGCTTTGCTTTGGGGAACATGAAGGATTTTCCACAGGAGTCTTATTTTGAAATGGATGAGACATAAATAGAGCAGCATAAAGATCATATTTCCAAAGTAAAGGTTTCTAATTCTAGGTATTTCAATAAAAGTAGAGGAAAACCTTGCTCGGAATCAGATTTACTGGTCGTTGAGCGACCGCACTAAAATCCTGGGCTCCCCCTCTCTGAACGGCCTGCCTGCTCCACTGTTAAGTGGCTTCTTGGCACCATCTTCTTCCCAGACACTGTAGGCGATACATCAGGTGCTTTACCAGGCCTCTGAGACCACTTGGCCTCCTGTCACTCACAGCTCTGGAGAAGCCGACGTACAGTTCCTGCAAGGTTGCCAAAGACTTGGTTTTAAACTTTTGATTTGCCCTTTGGGAACCATGAAAAGTGAAATGACTAATTTGATTGACAGTGAGTGTTCTTTGTCATTAAATGAAGATGAGTGATATATTGAGTTATAAGACAGTGAGCAAATCTCTTTATCCTTTTTGCTGCTGTTTCCTCATCTTTAAAATAAAGGGAGTGGACCTGATGATCTCTTTCTTTGGATTTATAATGTTCAAAATAGTTGAGCTTTTGTGGACAAAGACAGCATTGTGTGGTGGTCCACTTGGCTTCTGAGCTTGAGTGGCTGGGTTCAAGTCTTAGAACTGCTTCTCACAATCATCATGGCCTTGGCTAAGTCCTATAATCCGTATGTATCTCAGTGTCCTTGTTTGTAAAATGGGACGAATAATTAACCTATTTCCTAGGCATGTGGTGATGATCATGTGGGTTAAATCATTTAGAACAGGGCTCAGCCTATAACAAGCGCTGTTTGAGTGACAGGTATTATGTTCATAAGTAGCCTTCTTGTTTTGAATGTGGAAGTTCATTGACTAGTGGATTGCCAAAGTTTTACTTGATTACTTTTCTCATGTGATTGATTTGGACTTGTGCTGCTGTTTTTTCCAGTTAAACCAAGAGACCCCATGTTGCTACACCTATTGGCTACTTCCTTCTCGTGCTGACTAAATCACAACCAGTCCAAGATTAAGTCAGTCTGTGTTTCCAGATGAGTGAAAAGTTGCAAAGCCCCATATCCCGTAGTTCCCAGATGTACAGAGCATCTCTTTGAGTATCACCCTGAGTTCTTGCTTTTGTAGCAGGTGTGAAAATCTCAATGCACAAATTCAGGGTATATTAACTATAACATTTTTATTGCTGTAAGTTGATTTTATTTCTGGTTCAAAAGCTCATTCCATGAGTCTGTAGGGAAATGAAATTTAATTGTTTCAGAATGTGCTAAGGATCTGGAATCTAACAGACTACCCAGCTTTTGGGGGGAGAGTTCCTCTGCTCACCAAGGGATGGATCTACACAGGCGACTGTGGGATGATGAGCTCCTGATGAGCGTGGCTTTTTGGGCCCCAGTCCTCCACTGTGGGCACACAGACGTGTGAGGCTTCAGTGGCCCCTCCCACCCACATGTGCCCCAGTTGCTGCGACCTCTCTGCTACCCATGGCCTTCTTTCCTCTGACCTTTTGGCAGAGTCCATGATGGTCAGAGACTGTCTTCTTGTTGTATTCCTTCTCTGGGGATGTGAGTACAGAATTGTCTGTCTATCTGGGCTATGGTCTGGCAGGATAGCAAAGGAAAAAAAAAGTAAGGATATGCAGGTAAAAAAATACATAATTGGATATATCTGATTATTATCCTTAAATAGGGTTTAAACCATTGACTTCAGATATGGGTCAGGAAGAATCATGAAACATCTGGAAAAAAAGAAGTGCAGTTAGGAGAGAAAGAAATAATGGCTGTTGGATGGGAGCTGAGCTGTGGATACATAAAAGGACATTCAACAAAGCCATTGGGATCCCTTAATCTACTTACAGCCAAATTCTGAGGAGCAGCAACAGAAGCTGCTCCCTTGCCCTAGGGTTGTTGTGGCCAGTAGCTTCCCAACAGGAGAAGTGTCCTTGACTTTTTCTCCTACCCCCACCCCGTACCTCCGTCTCTTTAGACAATGGAGTCTCAGGGCTTAGGACCACGCTTAACTCAGTGATCCCTGTCTGCATGTGCATTTCTTGAAAGGAACCAATCCTGGAAATAGATTAATGCTATTTATTGATAGTAAAGAAATATTCATTTCCTAAGTAGTATGAACGTGGTCCATTTAGTCAACTGCTAGTTATCAGGCGTCTATTATATGCTAGGAATAGTGATAACAAAATTTATGTTGTGACCTCTGCCATGAAATAATTTATAAAGGAGAAGCTGGACAAATAAAGAAATATTTGTGAATGCAGTTTCTTTTATAGATAATGATGTGTAATATAGAATGGCCACTCAAGGACAGGAGTGAAAGGTTGTCTTAGTGAAGGTTTGGTGAGAAAAATAGAAACTATTCTCGGCGTGCAAACAGGAAGGGAATTAATAGAAGGATTTAGATGCTTACAAAACATTTGGAGGTGCTGGGCAAACAAAGGTCAGAGAGGACTGGTGCTGGCTCTTGGTTTTTCAGCTTGTTTTCATGGAGTCAGGAAGTTGCAGAAATACAGGATGCCCAGTAATCCCAGTTAGTTTCATCCAAATCCCATGCTTTTTGATTTTTTAAAAGATAACGAGAGATTATAACCCATTGAATGAACTATGAATCTATTATTCCACACAGATATAACAAGAGAGAAGGTAAAGCCTTTACTTAAAGTACAATGAATAAACATAGGAAAATGAAAATAAAAAATTACCATTCTGCAAACATTATTCAGCAAGAGACATCAATGGATGATAAGCATAGTAGATGAAGGTGCGATAGGGAACATTGTATTTACATAGTCTCCGAATATTTCCACAAGAAAAAAAGGAATTTTATAGTGGAGACACCTAGCAGGCAACATTGATCTTGCTCAAGTGATCAATATTGTCATCTGTAATTTGACAAATAAATATCATGTACCACACAGTAGGACGTGATGATGTGACAGCATCATTAATGTGGTATCCCAAAGACATGTATCCCAAATCTTCAGTGGCTCTTAGGCTGAACTTTGCAGGCAGAGCCCTGTGGGAACGTAAACCTTGGGCTTCCGGTCCTTAGGCTGTCAGGGGACCACCCGGAAGGAGGGGCAGTGAGGGGCTGTCAGCAGAAGACAGGGCGTAACAGCAGGATGAAAAGCCTCTGTGGAATCCGAAAGGCGAACGTTTCAGCAATTAGAGCAAGAGGCTAAGTGCCCTGGAGCCCCAGTGTCCTGTTCCATGAAAGAACAGTGGCTCGATATCGCTTAGGTTTGTTATCAGAGAGGTAGCTGGGCTTTAAAACGCTGGAGGTGGAAAGCAGGAATGGACTTGAGTGAGTAAGACCTTGGGGTACTGTTTTGATTGGACCTAACCCATAAAAAATGACTGTGTTCCCAGACAAGTTTCTCCAAGTGTTTCAGAGCTGCCCTTCTGATTTTTGTTCCTCTAGCATACTTTCTTCATATTCTGCTCAGCAGTCATGACAATAATGAGCATTCAGAGTGTCATTAAAAAGGTGTAGCACTTGGAGGATGTGTTGATGAGGGCTGACAGTGAACCTGGCACTGTGCTCCCCTCCCATGACTGGGTTTCTTGTTGGCATACAGATTAAATGGGTAAGCTTGGCCTCGTGCACCTGCAGATGCCAGATACTCAGCAAATACCGAGTCTCGTCTCTTCCAGAAGATGCATAGGGCAAGGTGAGGAGGTTGCGCAGAGGGCAGGAAGGCAGAAAGGTGTGCAATGCAGGAGGAGATGCTTTTGCTTTGCAGGGTGCCCTGGCTATCATGTTTTTGAACATTAAAGACGGAAATTAGCATATAA